TTGATTATTCTCGAGTAACCATATTTGTTGTAGGACCTTGTACACAATCTCAACCCCGACCACGATCTCGTTTGGAGTTGGAGCTCAGTTACACTAGTTTTGCTCGTACAGGTGCTATGATGACTCCTAGACCTCTTACCTTACACCTACCTCTACCTTGACCCTAGCCATGCCAACAACTAGAAGTGAGGTTTACAAGAGTCTCTAGTACTTCTCTAAGTGCAGCAACTTCGGCTGCAACCGGAATGTCTTCCCGTTCTAGTGTTACCCTAGTAAGCCTCCATAATATCCTTGAGGACATGACGCCTACTAGTAAGATATGTTCTAAATTAGTCGTTAGGTTACCTCTCAATCCTTCCGTCTAAGCTTAAGTGTTTACGGAAACACCTAATATGCTTAAACAATTCTCTGATACCAACTTGTAACACACTAATTTTCATATATAGATTATATAACAAATAATCGTTCCAACATCTCCCAAGATCAATTCTAAATTTACTTATAGATTAAACTACAGCGGAAACAAGATAAGATAAAATAAAGTCTTCAATTGAACAACTTTAGGTGTTACGTCTTCGCAAAATTCCTTTGTTGCCTTCTTTGTCCTTTTGTCTGCCACTAGATAAATAGTTTCCTAGGTTGCGCTTATTTAAAGTTTCTAAATTGGTAAGCCTAGGGCCTAGTGAGTTCGTGTTGCACATACATGTCCATCAAATAAAAAACATATAATTTTAGTATATATCTTCAATAAATCATACAACAGAACATATCATCTGATAACATAATTTAGGGGAGCTAGCAATTAATTATCCAGAGAAAGAACAAAAGGTTCATTTCCCTCCTCCTTGAGAAAACTCAGCATCAATTGTACTCAAGTATTTTAAATATCCAAGGAAATGAGTATAAATCTCAATTCTCATCCCCGCCAATCACACACATCCGTTATGCTCACGACGATTAAACACCCCACCCGTTCCCACTAAACATGTCACCCAAAAAAACGCACAATAGAAAACAACTCAAAATAACATTTTCACACAACCATACTTATCATAAAATATACTATGAATATTTAAATAAAAACCATATAATAAATGCATGAAAAACATTTATGTGTGAACAACCACAGAACAGGAGAAAACTCACCTCAATGACGTTAGGCCTTAACTGAAGCTTGTTACGCTGCACGCACCCTACATTTAGCCAACATGTTTTCTAAGGCCACAGTTCTAGAACAACATCCTACGTGTTCATTTTGGTTCAACTATCCACGTGTCTCGTTCGGCCAATCAAAATAATCACCATCTACGTTAGTTAAAATGTACATAATAAGCTTAGTACATGTATTATCTTTTGTTGCATCAATATTTTCATATAAATAAAGTTTCACTCTCAAATATAATACTCGTATTAAAACATTTGAAACGTTGAAATAAAAACATATTTGGTTTTAATAATAACAATAAAAACTAGCTGTTTAGTATGGACCACTTTTGTCTTTTTTATTTTTGTATAAAAGAATTTAGTATTGTCAACATGTTAACAGTTCAATAACCATTTTTGTAACTTTAGTTTTTAATTCAAAATAAAAAGAAGGAAGCGTTTCAAGGAAACGAAAACTTGATCAAAACCAGATGGACTCTTTCTGTAAATTTGAATTTCTCAAAAATAAAAAGTACACAGTTGACTATGTTGTTTTGACAGTTCTTGGTACCCACCCAAAACAAAACCTGAATTTCATTTCTTCTTTCCCCGACACTATTTTTCTTCCATTTTTTTTTTATTAATTTGACGCTTCAAAATTTATATAAAATTAATTTGTAAAACCAACATTAATCATCTTCGCTTCTTACCAAATGTAATCATAAATTATTTTTCAGGAAAACTCTCGAATGAATATGGATTCAAGCTTTTTATCAAAATTCAAACACTTCAAAATTTTCATCAATTAAACTCTTATTGGCCAATACAGAGACATTAGATGGAACCAAAACACTAAATGCAGCCGTACTACCCTAATCAAATGACTATACCAAGCTAAAAACAAAGAATCATATCTTAATTTGCTAGAAAACTCCGTAATTTTTCACATTTTTTTTCTCCGATTTCTTACTTGATTATCAACATTTTCTTGCAATTCTAGTGGGTTTTTCATACACTACAAGAAAAAAGGGTATTACCGGCGACAAAAATCGCCGCTATTGCTCACAAAAATCGCCGCTAATACCTTTGCCGGCGACACGTTGCCGCTATTGAGTCGCCGCTACTGCTTTGTCGCTATTGCTCAAAAAGTCGCCGCTAATGCTCACCGTCACCGCTAATGATACGTGTCGCCGCTAATGATAATGTCGCCGCTAATGATCTATGTCGCCGCTAATAGTGTCGCCGCTATTGGCTTTTTTAATTTTTTTTAAAAAGCAGCCATTTTCAGTTGTCAAAAAACCGATACATGATAATGTTAACTGCAGAAAAACCGATACGTTAAATGCAGAAAAACAATTATATAACATCCAAGTTTTATAATACCATACATACACCAAAATAAATAACAAAATTCTTATAAATTTTTGTCGTACTACAATTTCTAATAAAAGATAAAACTAACACTACGTGTCGTCATCACCGCCACCCTCGTTCCCTCCTATAAGTTCCATAGTATTCTCCGAATTGTTGGACATTGGTATAAGATTCTCCAACTACATAGTAAATAACAACATATAAACTTGTAATTTAACATATTAACTTAAACCAACCTAAAAACTACCAAATGATAAGAAAACTACCGATTACTAATTTATCTATATATCAACAAGCTATCAAATTAACAAACCAACTAACTACATTAACCTTCTAAATTAAACCAACAATCAAACTAACAAACCAACAAACTAATAATTACCAATTTATTTACAAATACATATTACATAGGAACTATCATAGTAATTTACTTTAAATAACATTTTCAATAATAACATCCTACTTGTTTTTTGTTTTTTTTCCATTATAACATTGTAGTTTACACATTCTATACAAATACACTCCAAATTGCATACAAATACACACATACATAAATTATACACATATATACATACTTTTTATACACATAAAACAACCATCAACACACTCCAAATTGCATACAAATACACACATACATACATTATACACATATATGCACACTTTTTATAAACATAAAACAACCATCAACACACTCCAAATTGTTTATAAATACATACATACATACATTATACACATATATACATACTTTTTATACACATAAAACAACATAAACATAATCCAAATTGCATACAAATGCATACATACATACATTATACACATATATACGTACATTTTATACATGCACATAGATGAAATACACACAATTTTCACACACATATATGAAATACACATACATATAACATATTTCACACACATATATGAAATACACATATATATACACAAAACACACACATAAATGCACACATATATAACAAATTACAAAAAATGCACCTGTGATTCCCAAAATTTTGCTCTCTTTCAATTGGTGGTGGTAGTCTTCGATGTTGCAACAGTTCTTGGTGGTGGTGGTGTAACTTAAGACAATAAAAACCAACAAAAAAAAAACAATTATATTTGGAATTTTGGTCAAAAGAGAAAAGAAACAATTTTGTGCAACTAATCACAAATACAAGTAGAAATCGACATTAAAAGATAAGGAAAAGAAGAAAAGAGGAACGAAAACACAAACCACAGAGGAAATCGACAACAACAGTGTCGGAATTAATGTCACAGTTAAATCATCGGAGATGTGGAAGTGGGGAGTTTCCGGTGGTCTATAGGCGTCGTCATTATGTCTTCTAGCCTCTGGGAAACTCGATTGAGCAAAAATTTTCGAAGAGAATGGATAAAAACACAGAAAAATGAAAGCTGTGAAAGCAGAAAGGGGTTGTTATTTGCGCGTTGACTTTTAGCGGCGACATCAATAGCGGCGACAATTAGCCTTTAGCGGCGACACAAGCCAATAGCGGCGACAACTAACGAGGGAACTTATGCCGCGTCTTTTTTTCGAGCTCTAGCGGCGACAAATTGTCACCGGTATTGCTTTTGTGTGAAAACGAGACCCCAATCGTTGGATTATATACTCGATCGGACGGCTAAGGTTTACCAGAAGGGGATAACGCGGATTCGGGCAACAAGGCATTAGCGGCGACACAATTAGCGGCGACATAGTATAATGTCGCCGCTAAAAGCCTTTGTCGCCGCTAATTGTGTCGCCGCTAATGCATTGATTTCTTGTAGTGATAGGGTTTTTCGAGCTTTATATAATGACTAAGATTTTAATTACTAAAACCTTTTCACGTACTCGAATTTACTACATCATTAAGGGTTGCGGTTTTGAGGGTTTAAAGCTCATTATTTCTTCTAATTAAACTAAATTACTCCTAATTAATCATACATTATATTATTTTAATAATATAAACAAATTATATATATATTTATACTTTTATTTTAATTTGAGTTGAAATAATTGTTTTTTGACGGCTACCGATATTTTTTATACAACTTTTACTGTTTTGTTAACACATTGATAATAAATAATAAGAAGTTTATGATATTAAGTCTTATAAAATCATATTTTATAAAACATTTGTTTCATAATCTATATACTTTTTTGTTTTCTTGCCATGTAAGTAATATTTATGGGATGATAAGTTGTGATGTATCTATTTTATTGATTTTGTTAGGATGATGATTGTTTATAAATTTTTTTGTTAGTTTTAACTTTTATTAATGATAAAATAGTTAATTATTACTTTTAGGCTTATTTTATTAATGATAAAATAGTTAATTATTACTTTTAGGCTTATTTTTAATTTTTCTATTGCTTTTAATCATTAAAATTTTTTTATTTGGACACAAGTGTTACGCATATATTGATTTTTTTAGATGTAAACCCGCTTAATTGTAAAATCAAGTATTTTGGTGTCTTAGTGTATGGTCCAAAGGACGAGTCTTGTTCTCATATACTTAAAAAGGCAGGAAGCCCTTAATTAGTAGGTGGTTGGAACCCATAGAATACTTTAGAACATGATCAAAAAATTGAAGCGTATATAACTACCTAATCTTTCTTTGATCTTCATATGAAAGTGTGCATCAAAGCTCCTATGAAACAACATGCGTGGATACTTTGATTTTTTGTTAAGATTTGTCATCTTTGACACAGATTTTATTATAGCTCCTTCTATAAATACCCTTTCCTTCTCATCCTATTCTTCACCCAAGTCGTAGCGGTGTTATTTAGCATCATCATAACTGATCAAAATGGCAGAAATTTCACTTGGTTTCCTTGCATTCTCTCTACTCGTCTTCGTTCTTACTATTTCAGGTGCTTAATAAAACTTCGTTTAGCTGATTTCAGTTATTTAAATATTATTTGGCTGTCATTTGTAAAAAGAAGATATTTACTTTTTCAAACTTTTTTTTTTTTTTTTTTTTTTTTTTTTTGTAATGATCGAGATTTTGCAGTTGTTTGGGATCATTCTCGTTTCATATATTCATTTTCAAATCTTCAATATCAATTGCGAGTGAATGTAATTATGTATTTTCCTAAAGCCTCACCATCCGGTTCGTAATTTTTGGTATTATTATTATTATTATTATTTTTTCTGAAAAAAGTTCCTGCGGCTAAATAAATAAATGCGGGTGATTCGTTTCTTGCAAAATTAGTAATTATCTTACAAACTTAATGACACTAAGTAGTAAATTTTTTTTTTTGATCATCTTGATTAACAGTAATTTTCCGTTTCACTTTGTTCAAATGATTTTCAAAAGGCCAATTTTGAGCTTCAAAGCAATAATAGTCGGAATATTAATTATCTTACCAACTGAACAATATTTGGTTTAATAACTTTGATGGTAAACTAACTAAAAAATTTTCTACTAAATAATAATGCAAAAGGAAAACCAATATATTCACCTCCATTCATTAATATCTTTTTTTTTTTTTTTTGTTATAATCAAATGTAAATTACGTGAAAAGAAATCACCACAGTGAAAGGAGAATTATGTGAAAAGGCAAGCAAGACCTGGTCTGGAACGTGCAAAGATACCGACAAATGCAACAAACAGTGCATAGAATGGGAGGGTGCAAAAAATGGTGCTTGTCACCAACGTGAAGCACAATACATGTGCTTTTGCTACTCTAATTGTCCCCCCCAAAGGAAAGAAACCACCTCCCTCTCCAGCCCCCAGCCCCAGCTCCAGCACCACCTCCGCCTCCTCCTCCTCCTCCTCCTCCACCACCACCACCACCACCACCGGCTGGGGGACAGCCGGCTCCACCTCCAGGATGTGCGAAGCTTGATGTAGATAAGCTAATAGCTGAAGCACTCATCCGCTACAAGATCGAAGTTGAGAAAGTGATACATTTTGAGCTTCCAATCGACCCCTCAGTCATCCTTGTATAACAATTATGAATGAAGAGAAAATATTTTGTAATCAACATATAATAATATATTTGATACGTAGTGCATAGCTTATGATTCTCATACATAAATATTTTAGGAATATGACAAATTGAATTTTAATATCAAATTGAGTGTATTTTCTCTTTAAGAACATATATGCTGCTTTATTCCTAAATTACAAAGTTCATTTTGAACTATCATCTTATATATGGGTGAAAGGCACATTTCGACCAACATGACGTATTGGTGGCCTAGAAACCATTTGGTAGTTATTAAATAAAATATAGCATAGGTAACTTTTCAAGAATAATTTTAAACAAAACTACATGAAACGACTTGGTCCTTTTATGCATGTTGGCAAAGTTTTCTCATGGTTTTTGTTGTGCCAAAGTTAGGGATGGCAACGACTTTTGCCTACTTTCAAGGGTTTCTGAATTTCACCCGTATGATTAACTGTGGTTGGGTATTTATCATATCATTATCCGTCAACATACACGTTAACTAATATACTAGGCATACATTATTGTTCTTTTTTTCTTTTATAGGACAATTCCATTACTCTAGCGAGAAAAGCTAGGAAAAACACAACAAGAATCAGGCGTACATTGTTGTTCTACGCTAAACTATATAAGTTTGTCAAATTCCTTAAGCGAACATAGCAGGATAATGTTTACTAGTAACAAATATTGAATTTATAAACCTCATAATCATAGTAAATTTCTTCAAATTAAAAATTTAAAATAAATTTCACGTAATCATAAAAATCAATTAATTGGATGGAATGATAACTTCACTGGTGTTTAAGTTAATGGCATGTTCTGATTCTCGCACACTTCCGGTAACGTTGTCTTGTTAATAAATCTTGTCAATGGATCTAGCCACACTTGATTATGGTTTTTGGGGAGATTCCCATTCATTCGTTCTCTCATAACTATTTGTTACGTTAAAAATTACATCATATGGGAAAATTCTAGAACGTACAACAAAACATGTATTTGACGACAAAGCATTAAACTTGACCGTATGCTGTCGCTATATGTAAGCCACAAACAAAAAATCGTCTTTAGAACATGTTTTCGATATTGCATCCTCCGTTATGGCAGATATAAGAAATGATATATATGTGTTATCCTTTTCAAAATGTATATATAGAAAAGTTTGTTATATGCATGTTTTGCAACGATATTTGGAAAATTGTTTGGTATTTATGTTCTGATTACAATGTATATTTTGTTTATGTTCTTCTGATTACAATGTATATTTTGTTTATGTTCCACATTTTATTTCCAAATACCTCGAAGCCTTAAAAGACAATATGTTACGGAACACATTTTACTATATATAACAATTCCCAAAGACTCCGTAGTTCTGCCTACATGACGATATATTGCCTTTGAGCATCTCTCTTAATTCTTCTTTAACCTAACATACATCTTTATGACAGAAAGACTACTTCATTTTTAGGAACATTGACATGGATACAAGTACTTCGACATAGCATCTAAGAAGTTATAACACACACTGAGGCCACATATGTTCTTAGGATGATTCTAAAGGATACTAAAAATCAATTGAGACTTTCATTATACAGAGGAGAAATATAAATAAGATACAATAAACTTTCCCAATTTACGTGAGATTACAAATCAATTTTAAATATAAAATAATAATAACAATATATCGTCTAATATTCCTCGGCAGTTGGAGCAGGAGGAGAACGAATGCTCAAACTGGACTTGACGCGGTGAAACGGTTGTTTTGTAAGTGCTTCCTATTTGAACGGATTCTCGATTGAATGTCGATATCAACATGTTTAGTGATTTGATGTTTGACTGTGTTAATAGTCGAAATGATGTCGTAGGAAAAAATCATAGCTTTGGTTACCAGTACATGAAGTTCGAGAAGAAGTTTTCTGAGCCGATTTGTTTCTGTGTTGATATTAGCAACTCCTCTATATTCTACTTCTATGCTGGAGCGGGACGCGGTGGGTTATCATTTAGATGACCACAATACGAGATTGTCCCCTAGAAACACACAATACCCAGATGTAGATTTACATGAGTCAGGACCCCCCCCCCCCCCCTCAAAAAAAAAAAAAAAAAAAAAACCGGCGTCCAAGTAAGTTGTGACGTGAAGTTTCGGGGGCGTGGAGATGTGGAGACCTTGATTAGTGGCTCCTTTAAAATAACGAAGGATGTGTTTGAGGAAATTGAAATGGGCCTCTCGGGGTACATGCATGAATAAACATACTTGTATGACATAAGTGATATCAGGTCTTGTAAAAGTTACGTATTGGAAGACTCCGACTAAACGTCGATAAAGGGTGCCATATTTGAGTCGTTAACCAACATTAGCATGAATTTTTGACGAAGTGACAACCGAGTTGCGACTGGGTTATACTCCGCCATATTATCCCGATTTAGGATGTCTTATGCATATTGCGTCTGCGAAAGAAACATGACACGATCAGAGCGAGATATTTGAACGGCGAGAAAGTGATATAGGTTGCCCAAATCAGTCATGGAAAATTATTGGAAAAGTGCGTTAATGACTTGTCTCAAACTCAAATCATTGGGCGTGGTGAGGATAATGTGATCAACGTATAGGATTTAGTACAAAATATTGTTCCCTTTATGGTAAACAAATAATGAGGTATCTGTGACAAAACTTGTAAAACTGTGAGAGGTGATATATATTAGCAACCCTATGATACGAAGCTCGCGGTGGCTGTTTGAGCCAATATAAAGATTTTTGCATATGACATATGTAATGAGGGTGTGAACGGTCAACAAAACCTAGGTTGATGCATGTAGACAGTTTCAGCCAAATTCTCATCTAAAAATGCATTCTTGACATCGAGTTGGTAAATTGGCCCTGAGAGGGAAACTGCTTAGGTAAGAATCGTATGAATTGCAGTGGGCTTGAGATGGAGACTAAAGGTGTCATTACAGTCAACGTCAACCAGTTGAGATTTTCCCATTACCAACTAGTTATGCTTTATAGCTTGCTATGGACTGTCAGCATGAAATTTATGGCAATATAGCCGGAATCATCGTATTATATAAGCATCATGTGGTCTCGGGTCCAGTACCCATGTCTCATTGTAAAATAAGACCATATATCATCGTACACAACGTGGTTCCTGTTAGGTTCGAGAAGGAACTTGTAGAGTTTTTTTTTAGAATTCAGGATAAGTTGGAAGTATGGACGTTGAGGTGTTGAGTAGGTTTAACAATTCCATAGCATAAACAGGTTCTAACGTGGTAGCTAGGAGTGGGTGTTGGGGATATTGGAGGGGGAGTGTTTGATGTCGGGGGTATGGGTTTGGTATCGGTTGTAGGGTGAGGTGTGTTGGAGGGAGTATAGGGTGATATGGAGTTGGGCGGGATGGAGTCGAGGATTGGTGTATAAGAGGGCTGAGGGTGTTGGCGGTTTGTTGAGGAGGGAAAAAGTGTTGATGTAACATCCCAAATTTTCCAAATAAAATTTTCATTTTTAGATCACCAAAACAATCCCGTAAATATGAAAAATCAATAACAATTGTTTTCAAAATTCATAACATCAAAAATATTGTATTCAATATATCAAAGTGTCCCAAAATGAAATCGTCGGAGAGAGTGCACATCGCACCATCAAGTCGGGCCCTTGCCCTTAGGCTATGAAGTACCTGAAACAGCAACATACTGTAAGCTAATGTTTAGTGAGTTCCCCAGAGCATACCCCACACAATCCACATAATCACATAATCCATAACTGCTATATAAGTTACATACAACACATAAGCTTTGCATACAAATATATAAGGATGCCATGGAAACGATCCATGGTATTACACCAAGTGATATTGAAATCCCCACGTGGTCTTAACTATCTACCATGGGAACCCCACATAATCTTTGCTAGCTGCCACTGCAACCCCCATGTGGTCTTGGTTAACCGCAGTGGGAAACTCCACACAGCCTACACTAACCATAGAAATATCATACGAGCTAAACATGTAAACATACTAGGAAGCCGTGGAAACCCTCCAAGGACTTATACCAAACGCCATAGGAACCTCATCATGGACTTAATATACTGCCACAGAAACCCCCCAGGGACTTCCATACAAGTGTCATAGCAACATATCACATAATCAACTAACAATCCATATATCATGAAAGGGCAGGCCTTGGTGCCTTGGACCCATTGGTATGGTGAAAAGACTCACCTCTCAAGAAATGTTGAGCTGATAAGATAAGTCCCAACTTGCAACTCCAACTCAAATGTCTACAACAATCATGTGATTAAATTGTCAAAATCCCAAAATATCGAAAATACCCTCAAGGTCAAACCTGGTGAACCCTGGTCAAAGTCAAAGTCAACAGTCCATGTTGACCCGACCTCGTCGAGTGCATCTAGCAACTTGTCATGTTACTTCAGTGTTCAGAAAACCGAAAACTTGGGTCAACTCGTCGAGTTACCTGAGTAACTCATCAACTTCTTTAGTGTCCAGGAGTCGAAAACTTCAATCCACTTATCGAGTCACCTCACCCACTGGCTGCATTCACACAGAATCTAGAAGGCGGGGTAATTCGACCTGACTCATCGAGTTGGCTAGGCAACCCATTGAGTTCCTTCAACCTTTTTCATTTGAGACCTTTCCAGTTCGAATCCTAGCCCTAAACTATAGATCGAGTCCCCTAGGGTTAAGATACCACGTAAAGTTGCAAGTCGTACGCTCATGCATGGCATCTAATGGGTTAAAACACTCATATAAAGATTAATAAGGGGCTTAGGGCATAAGGGAGGTCCATAACTTAATAAAATGGTAACTTCATGTCTAAAGAGGCCATAGGGAGTCCAGATTTGAAGTCACGTCCTCATGACAAGCTCGACCCAAAGAGTGACTCCATTTTGCACTAGAAATGACCATACTCTTGCATTAGGGAAGGACTATGAAATGGAAAGCCAAGGTAAAGACTTTATACCTCCAAAAGGTTGCAACATCGAGTTCATGT